TTCTTAGAAAAGAAAAATATTTAAATATTTTTTTCTATAGGTCTATCATAATGCGTGCGGTAGAGGGTTAAATATGTATGAGAAGTCATTCAGAAATATCTGACTGTTAAATCAAGAAAGTCAAATAGCTAAAACTAAACCTGAAATAACAAATTTATAAAAACTATATAGACATATTAATAAAAAAAAAAAAAAAAAAAAAACTCAACTTCATATAAAACGTTTAATTAAAATCGTAACAGAAAATAAAAACTAATTTGAAATATAAAAATTATAATAGTATCTCAATGATACTAAACCTATTTTTTTTTGCAATAATGGTTGGTTAACTGTACATTATCACTTGCAAATAGTGGTTACTGTTGTATAAAAACTATAAAGCTCTTTCGATAGACATTTCCCAAGATGACCTTCAAAATCAATGAAAGAGAAATGTGTTTGTCAAATCTTCTCAGGTACCACATTAGGCAATGAAGATTATGAAGATGTGACACCAACACCAGATTACGACTACAACGCTACATTCGATTACTATTTGTACAGTAAGTTACCATGTTATTCTTGAACACTGGTGAGCACATATGCCAAACAGCAGTCCTGAAGTCTTTAGAGGTCATTTTTAATACAATCTGAAAGTGTCAATCTGTGGTGTGACGAGATACATAATATACCGGATGGATGGTCTGACAAACAACAATCGACGACGGCAAATATTAAGAAATATATGAACATCGAATGATGCAATTTTTGATCATTCAGAGTCGAGTATTCTAGAGATTTATGTAATAAAAATGGATAATGGTAACCAATAGCCATAGCTATTTAGATGCTGTTTTAGCAAACTTCCATTCGGTCTGGCTTGATTCTGGTATGTAACGCTTAGTTTTTACAATCCAGTCAATTCCTGATGGATAAAATTACTCCTAACATTGTTCCCTAAAAAATGTGTAGTGTTACCGAAATAAAATCGGTTGCAAATAATGGCAAAGTATGTGTATTACCATAAATGTAACTGTTTTTTATGGCTTGTTTCCATTTCAGATGGCTCCGCAATGCAAAGTATTATCTATGATGAGCCCAAAGTTCTCCCCAATCAAGGGAATACGGTACAGTGGCATAAACTCTCTATCGTTTATGCACAGGCATTTCATTTCAAAAAGCCTGATTAACCACCTTCTTTTTTTTTTGGTACTTGTGACAATTGAAATGAATAGAACTAAATTGCCCATGATCGTCACGGCATAAAATGAAGGAATGAATAATTAAGCAGATACATAAAAGGAAGGATGACAGGAAAGATGCACAGATTTGCTAGAGCAAAAATGGGTCTGTAGAAACTTCAAGGAACATCTTTTGAACAAGCATTTGTTTGATGGCTTTGTTTTACCAAGAGCGCTGCAGGCCAAATAGGAAATCAAACTAGGAGCAAACTTTCTCAACGTTTGACTGAGAGAAAATATCTATACTGACTGCTTAATTAACTCTTGCTGCTTTTTAGGATTCAGTGTCAGTGTACAGACACTACGGAATATTAGCAGGACTGCTCGTGCTACACATCTGCCTGCAAACATGAAAATGACAGTCAACAACGGACCAAACAAAAGTGAGTTGAACCAACTAGCCACAAGCTAAGTAACGTTTTGCTGGCTCTCATTCATCTTTCCTCTATGATGCTTTACAGTACACAGCCCGGAGTGACTGTTATTCTCATAGAAATGCATTGTTCTTGCATAAATCAATATTTAGTCACAGCTGTCTATCACAGGGATTGATGAAATCTCTATCGAGTGCACGGTTTTGCCTTGAAAATAAATCATAATAACTACAGCAGTGTGATCATTTATTATTGTGTTACATGTCAGATAACAGAGCTACAATCATTTCTTGCATGTTTTGTTTTATATTTCAAAGATACTGAGCTGCTGATGTCATCGAAGAGGACCGGAACATCCTCTTTGTTTGCAAACAGTGACATCAATACTGACATTTTCACTGAATTAAAGTCTGGAGCTTTGACATTTCTGCTAAATGTATGTGTGTTGTTCAAGGCACTTTTTATATGTGATTTGAAATTGTATGCTGTTTTTTATGCTGTTTTAAATGCTTTATTGGGTCTGTTAATTATCCAACAATCATTATCTGAGAAGCTTTCATGAAACTGTAACCGTGTTTTAAACACTTTAAAAAAAAAAAAAGGATGAAAAAAATAAAATAATAAAATTTAGCATATGGTAGTAGTTTTTACTAATTGCTTTCACAGCTCGGCATGTCTGACAAACAACTTATTCATTTTATATTTAACAAATTCATAATGAGGTACTAATATAATAAATGAATAAGAATAACTGAATAAAATAAGCAAATAAACAAACTATTAGAAAAAATATTACAAAATGATGAGGCTAAAAGCACTGAATAGCAGGGTTATTTTAGTATCATAGTTCTTGTTTATTTTAAATGCCTGTAGTTTTCATACATTTTTTGTTTTAGTTATTTTATTAAGATAAGATAAACTAAATGAAATGAGAAATGTTGTCAACTAGCTGAAATAAAATCAATTTGATTTAAAAAAATATATATATTTCTGTTAAAAGTTTATTTTATGTCAAGTAACAAAAATAGTTTTATGGTTTTAGTTAACTATAATAACCCTGCTGATTGCAGATACGAGACATATTATTTTTTATGATTAATAATAATAATAACAACATACAGTACCATGCATATATGTGCTTTTCATAAACTCCAATCATTATTGATTATTGGGTGCAGTTTATTAAATAAAACTAAATGTCTGACCTTTTTTTACAGATGAAACTAGTCAGACATGCTGCTTTAATTAGCATGCATCATAAATCACATTTGTCTCATTTACTGTGAGACAAGTCCCAGGGCTGAAGCTCCTCATTAAACGTCTGTGCCTGCTGCACAAATATGCACTAACATGTCTGACAGTTTCCGTTTCCTGAGCATGCTGCAATATTCTGTAGTTCTTGTCTCAGCAACATAAGACATAAGGGCACATTGCACCTTCAATCAATAACTAACCCAGAAACAGTACATCACTTAAGTGTTGTTTTCCAGTTAAAAGATGTTGGTATTGACCACTACAGTGTTTGAAAGGTTTACATATTAACAGCTGAAACTTGTTATTAATGTTTAAAAATGTGTATGTTTAAAAAAGTTTTTTTAATTAATGATTTGTTCTTTTGCCCAAAACAATGATTAGATATTTATTTTACCTCTTGCTTTTCCTGTTTGATATTTATTTAAAAAGCTAATGTTGCTGAAACGCCTAAAATAGTTTAATTGTGCTAACTCCACTTCCACCTTGTTTGTGGCAACTTACCTCACATCCACCTTGTTTAGACAAGTGCAGCCGAGTCCATTTGTAACGTGAATGTGCGAGACTTCCGGTGTCATTTCGCTCCCCGTTATTTTTATCAGTACAGTATTGCAACCAATTATTTCGTATCTTTTTATTTTAATGCATTGTCGTAATTATAAACACACTGATTTGTAGCGCAAATAGTTTTACCCTTTACTGCACTTTTGTTATTCTTCTACTTATTAACTATGGCGACCAATCGTGGCAAGGCACTGAACCCCCAACTGCTCCCCGGGCGCCGCAGCAAAAATGGCTGCCCACTGCTCCGGGTGTGTGTTCACGGTGTGTGTGTGTGCGCACTTTGGATGGGTTAAATGCAGAGCACTAATTCCAAGTATGGGTCACCATACTTGGTCACATGTCACTTCACTTCACTTCAATGAATCAGAAGTCAGGAACCGTTTTGTAATTTCTAATTTTTCATATTAAATGGACGCAAGATACACTGATTTCGCACATTCAGATAAAATAGCTTTCTTTCGCGCTGAAAAATGAATGGATAGTGTAACACAACGGGGCATGTTGTCACAAACGAAAGTAGGCTATGTACAATGAACTGTATTTTTTCCTAATAGTGTTTTTTTGCAACCAAGACTAATGTTAGTGCCCACACAGTAAGAGTAGAAAACAATAAAAAAATACAACAAAAACTAGGCTATACCGAAAATACTGATTGGAGTAAAAAGTGCAGATTCCATTGTGATCGGCTTTTGGGTGGGTCTAGCAGTTTTTGTAATTTTTATGTTTTTTGTTCTGACTCTTCTGACCAAAACAGGAGCACCACACCCAGAGTAAGTATATATTCTAAAATCTGAGAAATACCAGTTTTGTTTATCAGGCTTTGTGGCAAGGACAGGACAGAACAGACTAAACAAAAGTGCAGGCAGTGTAAATTCCCAATAGGTCTGTTCATCTCTCTCACATCTGCACCACAAGCACCAAGACAGTGTTTCAGCATGGTTTTTCGGTTTCCCGCCGTCTGCGCTTTGGCCACCTAGATGCCTCATTATCCTTAGCTTCAGAGAGCCCTGTGTGTGTGTGTGAGTGTTTGTGCGTGTTTGCGGCCTCCCTCACTCTCATTAGTTCTCTGCTACAGTAGGTCGGTGTCTCCGATTTAACACTCCTTCAGACCAACAAAGATTATTTTCAGGAAACTTTGATTAAACCAACAACGGTCTGAAATCTTGGTCCAATTAGCATGAAGTCTGGCAACTTTAACCTTCATAAACTCAAAAATATAGGCACTGCTACAATCATTTCATTTTGTGCTGTTTTATTCCAGTCTATCCTTGCATCTCTCTTGTCGCATGCTCATGTTTATTAATGCGCACAAATGCACCCATATGCATGCGCATGCACAAAAACACCAATTATCTCTGTCTGTGTTCTGGTAGCTAACCAGAATTAATTTAAAGGCAAATTAATGTTCAATAATGCCCTCTTTGTACATTCAAATGTATTGGACAAAATTTTAAGGGCGTTTATTGTTTATTGCATATAATTACACTCAGTTATAATAGTAAAGCACTATTAGTCCCCATCCTCTGGTCTAATGGAGCAGTTGCGTAGCTCAGGGGCCGGGCTCTGATTGGAGTAAAAAGTGTGACAAATGCTAAGCGTATAATTATTATAAATGTAAAAAAATATATAGGCTGTAAAATATTGAAAGAAAGAGGCGCGTGAAATCTCTCCATTCACACGCGAGCTGATGGATGTGAGAGATGCGTGATCTCATTATATATTCAGTACATTCTCTCGAGACCACTGGAGACCTCACGAGCAGCGGTGATACTTACAGAACGCCCACCTACACCACATTTTTGTCTTTGACTTTTGCCTTGGAGCACGCAGACGTGAGATGATCGCAGGATAAGGTTGAATTCATTGGCAGTATCGGTGTTAAAACAGCTGCTTACGTTCTCAGCTCTGAATGCAGCAGATGATTGTGTTGCGTGGACCGCGCGCACTGACTGCTGTGAGAAACTGTGATGTATCTTTCCCCTAAGCGCTGTTATTATCAGTTTTGATCTGTGATTTAAGATGCCGAGGTTCCAGCATTTAAACAGCACTAGTATGCCAAATCACAATTATGAATGGAGCTACGAATACTACGACGACGAAGAGCCCGTGTCTTTTGAGGGACTCAAAGCACATCGATGTAAGTCTGTTTGCTGCATTAAGTCCATTATAGCTTGATGTGTTTTATCCAGTTTGTCATCTTTTTGTTAACTGTGGGACAATGGTAAAATACTATAAGAAGCATGCTTAGATTTAGATAATATGCTACTTTAAAAATGTGTACTGAGTAACAAAATTTATCCAGCAGCACACAGCACAGTAATAGACAATCATGCAAATGTTTATGAAAATATATAAAAAAAATGTATGCGTAAATATAATAGTTTATAGCTACACTGTATATATTATGACATTAAAACAGCATTGTCATCTCTAAGCATGCAATATGTAACCTTGTCAGTTAGAAATCTATAAACAGTAAACATATATTTATAGAAATATATATA